TGATTTCTTACCATAAATGTTAGACTATTATGAGGACTTTTGATGTTCCTAATTAACTTCTTTTTCAACAATTCTTTAATTTGTTCACTAAATTCTAAATATCTTGATAGGTATAAATCATCTATCTTAATCTAATCATATTATTGGGATTTGTTAAAGTTATCTTAGCAAATGCATTATCCTTATTCCTATGTCATTAGGGGTGTCAATTCGATTTTCGGTATGGATTAAGGCCAAATCCAATCCGTTCCCGAATATAATTCGGCTTTTCATTTTTCAATCCAATCCGAATTACTTTTTCAATCCAATCCGAATTAAAATTCGGTTATTTTGATCCGATCCGAAAATCCGAATTAAAATACGCTAATTTATCTTCTTTAATAAATACACTAATACAATGATATAAATTAGAAATGCAATTATAAAAATAATATTACATCCAATACAACTCATAAAAATAATCTGATTAACATAAATTGTTCAACTTCAAGTCAAAATAAATGGTTCAAAGTACAACTAAAAGGAAACATCATTTCCATTACAATAATTACTAAGCTACATGCACTAAATATCAATAACATTAGCATATAAGCAGCAACTTTCAGCTATATAATAAGGCTTAAGGCAATATCAACTTTCGGCAGATTTAGAGCAGTAATTGGGTTAAATGTTTAAAGCCTAATTGTAAAACCCAATTATAAAACACAGTAGTCCATAAAATATTTGCTTAATTGTAAATTTCGGTGCTCGGTTTAGTTTAGATCCGATTAGGGTCAATCCGATCTAATCTGAAAATCCGAATTTTCAAAAAATCTCAATCCGATCCGATCCGATTTAAAGTTAGGATCTGATCCAAATTGATAATTCGGTTTGGATTGGATTGGATTTTGGTTTTAATCCGAATTATGGACACCCATATATGTCATGATAATTTGTTAAAGAGAAGCTATTGCGTGCAAATGACCGCACACAATTTCAGTGCGGATGGCTTGGCTGATATATTTTACTTGTTGGCTTATATGTTTCATGAATTAGCTGATATGTTTCATTTGTTGGCTAATATGATTTTTAGGTTGGCTATTGTATTCTTTTTTTTTTTGGCTGATGTATTTTTTAAAATTTTTGATAAGTTCTTTTTTTTTAGCTGATATCAAGCATCATTTGGATTTTATGTTTCTTTACTTGGATGATATGTGCATTTTAATTGTTAGCTTCTATGTTTAATTTTGTTGGCTGATATGTTTATTTTGTTGGCTTACCTGTTGGTTTTGTTGGCTGATACGCTTCATTTGTTGGCTGATATACTCCTCTTGTTGGCTTATATGTATATTTTGTTGACTGATATACTCCTCTTGTTGGCTTATATGTATCTTTTGTTGGCTAATACGTTTTTACTAATGTCTTATATGTCCCTAATGTTGATTGATATAAGACATTAATTGGCTGATATGTTCATTCTAATGGCTAATATAGATCTTTTATTGACTAATATTAACAACATACCCACAATCGTCTCTCTCTCTCTCCCCTCTTCCTCTCTTTCTTTCTTTCTGTTTCAAATGAGAATGGGTTTAATTTCTCATTAACAACAAACAAAGAGAATCATGCAACAAAATAAACAAATAAAGTCATTGTCCATATCATATCATCATCATCATCATACCATCATCATCAACACCCAAAACCACTTCATCTCGCATTTGCGAATTCTAACCCAGAAATTGTAGATCCTGTATGTTCGAAGCTCCACCACCAAACACCACAACCCCTCCCCTACTGTTGCCCGTAGGCCACCACCCCTCCCTTGCTACGAGCCACCACCACCCCTCACCAAAAATTGCAGCCCTAGCGAGCTCCATCGACCAGTCGCTGCTTCTAGGGTTTAAATCGTCAATCGTCATCGTCGTCATCCACCATTGCCATCATCATCATTGTGGTATTTATTGCCATTGTCTTCTTTGGACGCACAAACACTTGGGTGCGGGTGGACGCACCCAATAGTTTGTGTTTGTTAAATATAACTCTGCTAACACTCAAAAATTGTAAGTGCTACCTTTTGTTGTGTAGGAGTAACCCTATCACTATGCTAGATGAGTATAAACTTTTGTTATTTGCTGAATAGGAATAGAGCTAGGTGTGTATAAGCTTTTGTTATTTTCTAAATAGGAACATAATGACCATTAATGGGAGGATAATTTGATATTATGAGTGCATGGACAGTATTATCTTTGAAAATCTTTTCTTATTACTGTATCATGACTAGGATGATTAATTGCCAATAAAATATGAATAATATTTTGAACTCTTTCAATTTCAATTGGTAATTCTTCTATTATTTCTGTATGCATCCTAAAACTATTATTTAGTAATTCTAATTTGCAATATGATTTTTAACTTAAAGATCCTTTTCCAAAACATGTAGAATAACCACTAGCAATACGTACACATAATTTATATTTATTGTAACATTTGATGCATATACCAATTGGTATGTAGATATTTTAGCATTAATGCTACTTATTTCATTAAAAGTTGGGTTAAACCAATGTCAACTAAATCTATGAGGTCACACGTTACAATGTTAGGTCAAACAAGAAAACCAAGTCCAAAAAGTTAATGATCGGCCATATGAGATAATAAGATTTCATTATTAAGGACTTTGGGAAAAATAACATGACGTTCACCATCTTTCAAAAATAAAAACTACTACAACCAGTTAGAAGTTCTCCATAGAAGAAAATATTAATCTCTCCCGTCCAACTAATATTGGTGGAGGTTCGATCTACATTTGTAGACAATTCATAGAGGATCATGGGGCTCCAATCTTCGCAAGAAGCTAGAAGAAAGCTTGGAAATTCACACGTCAAAGGTTAATTCTAAACTATCATGTGTACTTTCATATAATAGGAGATATATATAATTATACATATGCAATAGCTAGAGTTTCTTGAAAAATTTAATCCATACACCTAGAATATTCTAGAAAATACATGGGTATAATGTAGATCAAAAAATTTTCATAATAATTTACAATTTTTAAATCCCGAGGCTAGATTGATTATGCTATGATTAAACCCAAATTGGATCAATAAAAGCAATTCAAAATCCGAATTGAACATATTAGACCAGCATTATATAATCTATAATACTATTAAAACTCATGGGACAACATGCTAACGACATGTGTCACCCATATGCCACATATGCACTACATGTCATCCTACGTATCATCCCTTTTCTCTCACCATATTGATGAATTGTTTTAATGTATAGTTTCTTTAACAAAAACTCTTTATTGGTTTAACTATAATGCTATACTAGATTAGGTCCCGTGCCATGCACAGTAATTTTAAATAATTATTATAGAATGAAAATAACATTTAATTAAAAAAAAACATACATTTACTAACAAAAACAAAAAAAAATACTATAATGAATTTGTCTAAAATAGTAGATGAATTTATTAAGAAATATCCCATTAGCCAGATACGTATTTTAATGTACACATTTGACAATACCCGGTCTATAATATTTGTATATTTAACCAACATATTAGTATCATTTTTTTTTGTTTGCTTATTAACCAAATGAATTTCTGTAAGCTATGTACTATGTATTCAACCCGTAAATGTTTTTCTATTTTAATTTTTTTGAAAGTAAATTGGTGTTGTAAAAAAATAGTACATTACACTCAATATGATACATGTTAAGAATCCGTTATTTTTCCCTAAAACTTATACTCTGTAGTTGTTAATATTTTTGTGGAAGGATTTATCAAATATTTTATTTTAAGTAATTTTTAATATTCTAATCACTTTCTTAAAGCTTCTAAATATACAACATTATTTTATAAAGATATTAAATAAAAAATAAATGCAATTATTAAAGTACATGACACTATGATTGGCAAAATTATGTTGAAGCTAAGTTTGAATTTTTTTTCCCCTTTTACATAAGTTTATATAGTTTTCAAGAATACATGAAATCTTTTATTTATGTATAAGTTTATAATAATTTATTTTTATTTAAGATTTGTTTTTTAAATGAATTTTTTTTATAAAAAAAATAATAAAAAAAAAACTAAGGGACACACCAGATTATGACATGTGTCATTGCAGGTGTGTCTTTTAGTATATAGTTATTGATTGATTGATTGATTGATTGATAATAAAATGTGTTTAATTTAATTGAAAAACTTTTCATATTAACCTCTTAATATATTTTCATTTAGTAATGAATATTGTTCAACATCAACTCTTCTAAATTAATTTGATCAAACTTAAGAAATTATGATGATTCGGGGCATCGCCCGGGTCAATAACTAGTTACCTATGAAAAACTAATTGTTTAATGTCTTTTTGAAATCATAATAAACAGGGTGTCTCTTAATCTATGCTTCTATATTAAAAAGCGTTCCTAGAAACGTTTATGTGCCACGTCACTACTCAATATCCTATGGCATCGCGCCATGTCACCACTCAATAATCCATGACAATGTTTAATTATAAAAAAATATAAAGAGGTTTGAATTCCTAACCTCATGGAAGGAACACCACATGTCTTACCATCGTAACTACCAGTAATTTATGTTCTATTATTCTACATAAAAGTATTTAAATGCATAATACAAAATTGCATCCAAACTCAAAAATTAAGTGACACATATTATTCTTTATATTCTTTTCAATATTCAACATTACATTCCGAATTAGTAATACTACAAACACTTTATTAAAAAAAAAATTACTCGAAGTAACAATTTGGGGCAACGCCCGGGTGACACACTAGTTTAAATCTTTAAAAACTCTTTCGAACATATTAAAGATAAAATTGAATTATTCCAGAGTTTTTCATAAATTGATTTTGGACCGGACCGAACTAGAGACCAAACCGATTAAACCCTCTACATGCTAGAAGCCAAAATTTAAACAAGCAAATTATGATGAAAACATATAATTATGGGAACCATAAATTTAGTTTTCTCCTCTTTCTCTAGTTGGATCGGCCCACTTCTGACAAAATAAGAAGATAGGAGAAGTAGTATAATATTTTTTACCTTCAAAATATTTAGAAAGTGGGGCATTAAAATTAAAACATAAATAAGAAAAAAGAAAAATAAAATTAAAAACGCGGCTGCTTTACACCAAAACAACCGTAGTTCATCTCTGCTAATCATATTCCAGCTCCCACAGATCGTCAATTTTACGATCCACAACTAAAAAGGGGTTTTTAATACTCCTCAATTTTCGATCAATTGCAATTTAATTACCCTAAAAAAACCCAGAAAAATTTATTCTTTTTCTTCCCAATTTAATTCATTTTTTAATTGTTTTTTTTTTCTTTCAATTAGGTGTTTTTTCTGGGTTTCAGCTATTGATCTTGATATAATAAGGTGAAATAACTAATGGGGTTTTCTAGATTTCGATATTCTTCAATGGGTCGAATAGAATTTGTGATTTTATTTTCTGGGATATTGTGAAATAGCTTGGTGAGTAATTTCTGTCAATCGAAACGTTTCGCGTTTCTGAGATGATTTCTTTGGGAAGGAAGGGATTAGAGCAGAGATTTAGCAGTAATAATAATAAGAGAGAGATGGAGGTTGAAACTGAGCTTGAAGAAGGAGAAGCTTGCTCTTACCTAGAGGATGATGATGATACAACCATTGACCCTGATGTTGCCCTTTCTTACTTAGTAAGCTTTAATTGTTATTGGGTTTTATTTTGATTTTATGGATTAATTTTGTGCAAATTTTGTAATTCAATTATATGGTGTTCTTCTAATTTAAGCTGTTTTTAGATCAGGACTCTTCAGTAAGCATTGAAATTTTGCTTAATAGAATCTGTTTGTTTTTATAATTGTATAATTCTTTAGGCATTGTTATTGTATTAGTTAGCTATCATTGATACTTAGATATTCGAGGTCGAGGTGGGAGTGTTTTTGATGGGGTTTTGTTGGTGGGTGAATGGTGTTGAATTTGGTATGTCATGTGGGCAATGAAGTCGGAATTGAGAATTAAGATGCTAGTTTCGATCAAATATTAGTAAATGTGAGCTTCGTGAATGTAAAATTTGAAACCAACTTTGTGTAATGAGGATTATTGGTTTTGAAGATATATGATATAAAGTTTGGGATTTTACCACATTGCTTGAATGTTGAGGATTTTTCTTGTTTGATAATTGGGATACTATCCTAAGTTCATGAAATAATAAAACTTGGAACTTCTCAAAGATTATAGCTGATTAATAATTGGTGTGGACCACAGAAGAAACTTTGATCTTCTTTGATTGTCTGATGTTTTATAATGAAGTGCCAGTAGCACATATATGTCTTGGAGGTTGGAATGAACTATACAACAGTTGTTCTAGGTTATCTTACTAAATTTGAGATTTTATGGACTATGGTGGCTGATTAAAATGATCCAAACTTGCCGAAAATTTGTGAAATGTCATCGAATGATAATCCTTGAATAAATACTTGGCCTTTTTCATGCTGGGGGAGGCAGGGAAGAGAGGGGGGGGGGGGGGTTGAGGTTCCCTCAACTTGTTGATGATTTCATGCTAAGTTTCATCACAGAAGTTACTCTATAATCCAAAAAACCTAGATCTGCTTGCCTGCACATTTTATGACCAGCTACTCTTGAGCAGCAAAAGAAAGTGCTAGCTCTACTCATTAACTATATGGAGTCATTAATTTGTTATTAACTACCTTGCAATATCTGACAGCTTATTTTGATCAAAGTGTCCGTTGATGATACTTTCATATTAATAAAGTTAAAATATCTTGTATAGTGTGCTCTTGCTTTGTCAAACATAGTCTTGTATCTTGGAGGAACTGCCTCAGTTTAACCGTAGGAATATATGAGAATGCCACCCCGATTTGGAAGGATAATATTAGCATATAAGGCTATATCTTGAATGAATAGTAGACTGTCATAGAAAAGGACTATGAGAAGAGATAACAAGAATTAATTGGTATATCAAGATTTTACCCTTATATGCTAATACCATATATGCCAATCAATGTAATTTTCCAATTAAATAGCTGGGAAGTGCTCGTTATTTCTTAACTTTCCTGATATCTTAATTGAGGAGGAATTTACTTATTAACTAACCAGCGTCCAACATATAAGATTCTTATTACAAGTCATAGAAGAATTTACTATTTTGCTTTTTTAAGTATTTGATTACTATTGACTAAGTAAACTATAGGTGATCTTAGATAACTTGTTTGTTGATGCTCTATACATACTGGTTACCTAGGTCTATTGATTACTGTAGAAGTCAATCTTGTTGAACCTCAAAACAAGTTGTGATTAAAGAAAGAGGGTCCAGGAACTACTAACTTGCTGAAAGCATACTGTCTATTAAGCAAGTATATTGCAGAACAATATGGCATAGTTTAGCATGGTTGACAAGATTAGTATTCCTAGAATTATCTAGTTGCTGGATAAAGAGTGTGAGAGTCACCATATGTGGTTCTGATAGAGTAGAACAGATGACTAGACTTGCTTTTAATTTTTTTTTATATCCGGCTAAGATGGCACTTAAGATCAGGAATTAATTTTTTTTCTTACAGATGCAGAGACTTTTCTTTGTTAATTCTTTGTTAAACTTTCTAGTGACATCGGTCAGTTTCTCTATCATGTGGTTAAAAGTAAGTATTTGAGAAAAGTTAATAGTAGTATTATGTTTTTCACCTTTCATGATGGTATGGCATATAATGATGGACCAAGTTTATCTCTATTTTGAATTTAATCCCTCATCTCAGCCACATGTTAAAGTCAATTGCATAAGTGATGGTGAATTTTTCCTTATTTAAGTGCATGGTAAATTTTTGTTATCTCTATTTTTGTTATGGCCCATGATACCAAATCACGACAAATATAAGCTTTTGACTTAGGATATAGAATGATTGATGGCTAGCCACTACTTCAGATCTCTATTTCAAAATTCAAAAACTCCATCCTGATTGATTTTCCACCTCCTGAGTTCGGTGACTAACAAGATTGCAAGTCACAAGTTTAATAGGGGACAAATGATCTAGGATGAATTGGTACCCATTGTTTCTTTTCCTTCGTACTCCATTTTTTCATTTTTTTTTTCACGATTTATATATGTTTTTTCAAAATAGAAATCTGATAATGCACATGCCGACACAGAGATGAAGATAAATCTTTAGGGATTTGAAATTTTTTTGTCCTAACTTTGTCAATAACTATATCTGTAATGAAATATGGGTGTATGATGTTATCAAGGTGAAATGTTTTGGCAGTAGAGTAATGACCAAACTGTTGGCTTCTTTTTTCTGATACAAGCCATTTATGTACCCATTCTTGTTATCAATTTCGACTCGGTTTGTCACTTTGTTTTGGTGCTGTGCACTATATTATTGGTGACAATATTTTAATTGTCTTTTCAAGGATGATAAACTTCAAGATGTACTGGGGCACTTTAAGAAAGATTTTGAAGGGGTGGTTTCGGCCGAGAGTTTGGGTGAGTCAATTATTACTATTCATCTACTCTTTTCTATGATTTGAAAGATTTGGCACATTAATTATCCTTGCCTCGTGATATTTCAGGAGCAAAATATGGTATATATGGTTCGTTCTTGCCAACTTATCGCCGGTCACCTGTTGGATCTCAATCTAAAAGTCCACCAAGAGTTCAAAATAATATTACTCCCCAGTCTCCAAATACATTACAAACGGAGGTACTCTTACTATATTATTTTATGACGTATCTCTTGTTAAATTTATTGGTGGAAACATTATTCATTTGCATAGAAGGCTTTGTCTTTACTTTTAATTTGTTTATATGTTTTAAAAATGGCTATTTTGGATATTTCTTATTTGTCTGACTTGTCTCTAGGCTGGTCATCATAAATCTCTTGCTCCAGCCAATGTCTCGTATTCAATAAAACAAGGATCTGCTTCTACTGGTTCTGCATTACCCCAAAATGACCTGAGTAGAAAAAATGGGAGGAATAATTCTATTAAGTCATTGGATTTGTGTGCAACTAAATCTGAAGTTCGTGATCAGAAAACGCTGAAAGTTCGAATTAAAGTGGGTTCAGATAATTTGTCAGTGAAGAAAAATGCTGAAATCTATAGTGGTCTTGGCCTTGATGGTTCTCCAACTTCATCACATGATGATAGCCCAATGGAGAATGAAAGGCTGTCTTGTAGACTTTCATTAGATGGTTTCGAGTCTCCAAGTCAAATTATTCAAGTGAGTTCATGGTTTTGTTTACTTTTTCTTATGAAAATTACTTATTCTCTCTTATTCTTATTGATCTCTATTATATTTCTGGCAGATGATGACATCCTCCCTGCTATTAGGAGGTTGCTTTTTGTCTCCTCTTCCAGATGACCTGATGTGTTTGAGTGGAAGGCCAAAACAAATCCAAGACATTCTTACTGAAACTTCCTCCAAGGTCGAACTGAAAAATTTTGTCACAGGGCACCCAACTTTTCCAATCAAAGATAAGACGACAAATTCTGTTGAGAACAGCATGAAGTTGTTGGATAGAAAAGGGTTATCTTTGCAAGATAAGGGAGATGGGAAGGACAGCAATATAGGTTTTGGTTCCCAATTGAAGGAGACAGACATTGATGCTGTTTCCTGTGATGAGCTTGTTTCTAAAGCTTTGAAACTTCCCCTTCTATCTAATGCTCACAGTGAGGTGAGAGGCTCTCCAACAGCTTCTTTGAAGCAAACAGTTTTCAGTGATACATCAGAGAAGGAACCTTTAGAACCAGTTTTTGTCCATGTCAGCTTAAGTGAGAAATCAACTGGGAAGGTATCGTATGCTGCAAATAACTTAAATAGCAAAGCTGCTGAAGTCCGAAACAATATGGGGACCGATTCAGAAAAAGTTGGTGCTGACAAAATTAAAACAGTTGACAGTACTACTAATTTAAGTATTGGTGCTTCCAATTTAAAAAAAGCTTCAAAGAATGGACTGAAAGATCCTGTAAATCAAGGGACCAACAAATTTACTTCCCGTGATGATGCTATGGCTGTATCTTGTGGGAATGGACAGTTCTCGTCTGGGGATGAAAAAAGACCAAAGAAAAGTCAAGCTCGTGGATTTGCTACTGGAAAAATAGCCATGGAAATTAATGAAGATAGTTCTCCGGTGCTGAAAGACATGAAGTATACTGATGCTGAGAAAACTGCTTGTAGAACTGAAGTGCAAAAGGATTCCAAGCTAGGCATGGGTCAATATGTTGACTTCTTTGGAGAGATGAATGATGAAGAAGGTGACATAATGGACTCCCCAGATGTCCCTTCTGGAGAGATGTTGAAGACCTCTGAGGTGGTTGACAAGAACAGCTTATTTTATGAGAACAATTCTAAGGAGAGGACAATTTCCTTGGATACACGCAAGGGAACAACTCTTGGGGAGAAACTTAAAGGGCACTCTACCAATCCTCCAGTGCCAGAAAATGGCCGCCCTATATTTGAAACAGCTCCTACTAGCAATGAAGCAAATGTTGATTGGGTTGGATGTGACAAATGCCAGAAATGGCGAGTTTTCCCACCTGGCTGTAAACCTGACAACCTTCCTGATAAGTGGGACTGCAGTATGATGACCTGGCTGTAAGCTTCTTTTTGATCAAATCTTTGTTTCCTTGCTTTTCATCCAATTCACACTGCTTTCAAACATTTTTTTGGCTTGTGATGGTTGATGGGTTATCATGCAGGAAAGAGTTTCTGGTGTTAATTTTTCTTACACATTTCAAAAACTAGGGTGGCTAATGCGCGCGCCATAGCTAACCTTGTTTGGGAGCTTTTTCAGTTGTTGGTTACATTAATGAGGAAAAATATGTAAACAAATGTTTTAGGGGTAAAATTGTCCACACACTATTCTAAATAGTTTTTTTTTAAAAAAAACAATTAACATTAATGAAGGAAAAAAAAAGGAAAAAAAAGAAAAAGAAAGGGGGCAATTAACTTTAATGAAGGTAACAAGTTGTACATATTAATTTGGGTAAACATGTAAATGTATATTTTGAAGGGTAAAATTGGCAGCACACTATTCATAAGAGTTGTCTCATACTTTTTACAAGGTAGGGATTATGTTGAGTTCTTATACACTTTTGATTTTATCTCTAGGCCTGATATGAACCGTTGCAGCGCCAGTGAGGAGGAAACCAACAATTTCCATGTCCCTCCTCCTGGAATGACTTCAGCTGATATTATGAACTCTGGGAGAATAACCAGTAAAGTAAGAAAACCATCAAAATCATCTTTCCAAAATTCTCCAAAAAAGCCTCCAAGCTCTGTAAAGAAGCAACTGTCAGCAAAAGAGCCATACCACTTGAACGGACTAGATCCTGAGCAACAAGCTAAGTCTGGTGACATATATCCAGATACTGGTCAACATAAAAAAATAGAGAAGCACAGAATGGATTGTTACTCTGATGGAGGTATTAAATGTCAAGTATCCTTGTCTAATTGTTCTGATCTGAGCACTCTTATTTGTTATGGAGTATTGATTTTCTTGGTGTTCCCACAGGTCATGCTAAGAACCCAAAAATAAAAAGCAAAAGGGAATCCGATCAAGATTTTTCTAGAACTCCTAAGAAAAGTAAAACACGTAGCATGCAAACTGGGGATAATGATCGGGTAGCTGCTCATGATCAAGGTTTTGAGACTTTGGGTGTTAGCTCAGGCTATGGGCTGGGAGCTGGTATATCTGGAAAGGATCAGGCATCTGACTCAGAATTCTTTGCTTCCCAGAACTCTAAGGATGACATCGATAGCATCCGTCCATATTATTTTGGGAAATCAAAATTGCAAGTTGAGGACCTCCCAGTTGTTGGTTCCGTGCATGTCAGCAAGTCTGATAGTGGAAATAAGAAGAGAAAGAGTGATAATTTCAAGGATCCTCCAAATTCTACTCCATCTTCTGGCAAATTGACGGATGATAATGAAAAATCTAGCAGGAAGAGGCATAGGATTTCCAAGTCAGAGGGAAAAGATTCCAGTGCAAGTAAAAGAAGTGGTAAAGCAGACAAGAAGACTAAAAATGTTTCACAACACAGATTGGTTAGTAATGAATCTGTGCAAAAGGATTCATTAGGTGCAAATCCTGTTATGGCAGCTACATCAAGCTCTTCAAAAATTTCTGGATCTCTTAAAGTCAAATCAAAGTTCCAGGAAATAAAAGGTTCACCTGTTGAATCAGTTTCTTCTTCTCCCTTGAGAATTCCAAATCCAGATAATTTCATTTCTGGGTACAAAGTAACAGTAGGGAATGATGACGTCCAAGAGGCCACCAAACTGGCAACAAACAGTCCTACAAGGTGCTCTGCTGTTGATTATGATGGCAACGATGATCAATCTGGAGCTATACCGAACGATAAAATTGCAACAGGCACACTTCATGGCTCTTCAAATTTTATTGGCTTGCAAGACAAAATTACAGGAGATTCACAGCTGACTAATGGTAACAGCCGCATTGAAAACTTGAACCTAGATAATGGGTTCCCCTCAGAGACACAAGCTTCACATAGATGTGTGAATGAAACAGCAGCTAGAGGTGAACTCCGTCTTGGTGCCAATATTTCTAACTCAGGAAAATCTTGTAAGGATTCTCCTTCACTCTCCAATGATAAGAATCAAACATTGAAATCTAATTCTGGGAAGAGCAAAGTTAAGATGTCCGACTCATATGAGAACTCACTGAATCATACAATAGCTCATGAAGAGAGAGAAGGGGATAGGAAAGTTAAAGTTGATGAAAAATGTGGGTCAAATGCTGATAAGAAGGTTGATGTGGATAAATCTGAGGACTTGGTACCAATATCTGCAAAAGAGAAGTCCAGGCATATACTGCGTTCTGATGTTGAGAAAAAGGAGACGTTAGATAATCTGCAACCTAAGCAAGGTATTAAGGCCAGTACTTCAGCCAGTGATGCTCGTCCTGATGCTCTTCCTAGGGAGCCCAGACTGAATAAAAAAGCTGATAGTCAGAATGGAACTCATATTTTGTCAAAGCAAACAATATCTAATGGCCACAGGATCAAGAATCAGGATGCTCCAAGTCCTCTTAGAAGGGATTCTTCTAGTCAAGCTGCAAGCAGTGCTATTAAAGAAGCCACAAACCTCAAACACTTGGCTGATCGACTGAAGGTGATAATAGTCTCTGTTCTCTCCTCTGAAAAGAAATCAGAAAATGAAAGAAATGCTAAAGTGTCCTTTCTTTCTAAATTTGTGTTATTTGCTGACTGTTGCAGAGCTCAAGTCCAACAGAAAGTATAGCAATGTACTTTGAAGCAGCACTGAAGTTTCTTCATGGAGCCTCCCTTCTAGAATCTGGAAAAACTGAGAACATTAAACATGCAGATATTGCTCAATCTAAGCAAATCTATAGTAGTACCGCAAAGCTTTGCCAGTAAGTAAACAAGTCAGTGCTGGATGCACAGCACTGAAATTGCTAAGACTAATTCTTTCCAGCATTCTAATACTGGGTGGCATATTGTTTCAACTAAAAAGGCAGATACTTTGACAAATTAGTTGTACTTCATGCATCCTTTGATATCTCTCTGTGGATATCTGATGTCTGCAATTTCAGAGAACTTGAACTTGCACGTGCGCGCGCACACACGCGACACATTATAACAATTTTGCTGTAAATTATTTCCTCTAGTAATATATACATGTTGATTTATTATCACACACACACATGCTGCTTAAATTATTAACCTAAGTGACTGCAGTGATTGTTTCCATATTTTATTTCAACAATTTACTATAACCTCTAGTAATATGTAGTCATATACATCTTGATTTATTATGTTCGCTAACTAAAGTTTCTCCTCAAATGGAATATAGGTTTTGTGCCCATGAATTTGAGAAGATGAAAGACATGGCTACTGCTGCACTGGCATACAAATGTGTGGAAGTGGCATATATGAGGGTAATTTATTCTTCACATAATTCTGCAAGCAGAGATAGGCATGAATTGCAGGCTGCTCTGCAGATGGTTCCTCCAGGTAAAGGAATATGCTTGTACTTATGACCTTGTTTTCCTTTTTCTTTTGTGCTATTCTTTTTATCCGCTTTCGATATTCTGGGACTTTCAATTAGTTATTTATTTTCATCTTCCTAACAAAATACATAGCAGACCAATTTTATATTTTTATGCTTCACTGCCACCAGCGGTATTTCTGCCAATAGGCCCTATTTTTGACATGTGTTTGGGGCTGAGGGCAGTAGGGCTGGTGGTCAAACCCCTTACATCGACCTGAATTATATTGTTGCTTCTTTCTAGTAGCTGTTTATCATTGATCATTTTCGTAAAAACTGACCCCTGTCCAATTTTTGTCTTTGATCAGCTGCTGCTACTGATGTTTAGCAAAGTAGAAGCCACTAATTTTGAATTTGTATGTGTAGGAGAGTCGCCTTCTTCATCCGCCTCTGATATTGACAACTTAAACAACAATGCTAATGGGGACAAGGCTGCTCAGGCCAGAAGTGGTGGTTCACCTCAACTTGCAGCAAACCTCGTCATTGCAGCCAAGAACCGTCCAAACTTTTCTAGGCTTCTTAGTTTTGTAAGTTCCCCTGTTGCTTGTCTGAAATAATGGTGTATCTACTTATGCTACTGAAACCTGATGTTACTTGCCTTGAAACTGAGAAATAATTATTCTGTTTATGTTTATATCAGCCTGAATAATTAATATTTGGGAAAATAATTCTAAATATTCCAATTTTAATCTTTTAACTTTTGTGAATCCCAACTTTGAATGAATTCAGATTAATCCTAATCTAAGAGGGGGAGGGGAGGGGGAATGGGGGTGGGTTTCCCAAACGATTCCTCTCTAACGGATTATGAACTATTGCAGTATTTCTAGTTCCAAATCAATGACATCTAGGCTAAGTTTAGTTTGCCTTATTTTTGCTTATCTGAACTTATTTCTTCTGATTTGATGTGATTTGATCTAATTGTCTAATTTGACTAAACTTTGACCTTATATTGTACGTTAATTCATAAGGAAAAATATAGTAAACGAGGTCTTATTAGATTTTTGTAAATGTATATTTTCTAAATTTGTAATTTTCATAATCACTTTCATAATGGAATTAAAAATATCAAGTGACAAAACTTTGCGCATAAAAAAATATAGTGTGGTCTTAACTTTTACTTTCTGATTTCTAACTAGTCATATTTCATATTTCGTAAAATGTGGGCTTAATTTAGTTTGGAGAGTTGGGGAAAGTATGGGTGGTGGTGGAGATGAGGTGGTGGTTTACATTTTTTGAGTTGATGGGGAATAGGGGGAAAGTGAATGAGTATGAAAGTGATAGTGGGGAGGGGCCAGCTAAGGGTATGAAGGAAGAGAGAAAACACGCAAGGACTTTTTTGGACAATAAACATTGCAAATTAACCTTGGATCATGCTAATGGTTATCCCCTTGAAAGTTGAACTTATATTGCGTCAACTCAAAGTTGAAATTATATTTAACATGCCGCTCAAAGTCAGATATGCTTATATCTCTTTGTATGTTACATGAATCTTAAAGCATGTTGGACTGTTAAGTCTTGACATTGCATAGTTATGTTTCAATTGATTATTCTGTTTGGTGATTAGAGAAGCTCCTGCAACCAAACGGTCAAGTAAACCATATTCTTTAGCTGACTCTTGTCTCTTGCTAGCTAGTTATTCAGCAAACATCTCCTAAGTCAAAGTGAGGATCCAAAACCTTGCATTCACAATTTTTCTTGTAGGTAATAATAAATGGTGATGACTTTGAGGAAGTGTCATGCTAAAAGTCCATAATTATGCAATTATACCTCTAGATGTCTTTATCTCTATAAATTTCCATCACCACACCGCTCATTATTCATACCAACAATCATTATCACTTACCAATGGGGACTTTGTATAATTTTACTAGCAAGTGGCATACTAAAAGTCCATAATTATGCAATTATACCTCTAGAAGCATATATATAAATTTTCATCACCACACCACTCACTAGTCATAACCGACAATTGTTATCACTTACCAATGGCTTAGCTGGTCCCACTAGCTTGTGAAATCATTTTTTATCACCTAAGATTTCCCTTGCCCTCAGACCATGAAACCAAGATTAGAGGTTTGACTGAAATCAACGTCTATAATGAGCTCAATCAGTAACAAGCTATTCCATAAAATATTCGTATATACCCCTAAAGTGCTGTGGCTTAGAGAAGGTACTTTATCTTCATATAAATTGCTCTAAAGTTAAGATTGATGTTATGCCCTGATTAGGTTTATCTTTTGCAGGCTCAGGATGTAAATTCTGCAATGGAAGCTTCAAGAAAATCACGCACTGCTTTTGCAGCTGCTAATGTTAGCACAGGTCAGGCAAATTTAAAAGAGGGAGGAATCACTTCCATTAAGAGAGCTCTGGATTTCAACTTCTATGATGTTGACGGGCTACTGCGTTTGGTACGGCTTGCTAAGGAAACAATCAGCCGTTAAGCAGTTATTTTTGGCAGTTCATGTTGTCCAGAGAAAGCTTGTCTTTTGTGGAACTGTCTTGTGGAGGTAAAAGTGGATGGGTTTCATTTTTTGCTTGCATGTGGTGATATGGATCAGAAATCATTTCATGTCTTCAGCTGGTTCCTTACATGGACAAGAGACTCATTGCAAGCTGTTGACAATAGTATCAAGGCTATCGATTATCTTATGTTTCTTGGGGTAGCAGTCAATGAGAATTCTTTTTGCCGCTAATTATTATTGGAAGGGATGGCAATTACCATTCTTGGATTTCCATCCTGTTATGACAAGAGAATTCCTATCCCGTTCATGTTATTTTAATTCATGTATGATTGTGTACATAAAAGAGATTAGAACATGAGAAATGTAGCTCATATGGAGTAACAGTCACTGGAGCTTGCTGGGAACCCTGAAACCACATCTCTTGTTTCTAGACAATCCCAGAAGATTGAGGAAAAACTACAATTTGAGGTAACTACTTTTTCCAAGGCATATCATGATGGTTTTGTGAAGATTGTAATTTGATTGTTTCTGTTTCATTTATGGCAGTGCTGACATTTTCTAAATGAGAGATATAAGTGGTATGAAGCACCGAATACATGTATATAAGGTAATAATGAAGTCTTCATTAATTATAAAGTCTTTATACTACGTATTATATATGATGTTCTGAACTAAGTCTGGTATCCCATTGCTTGTATTAGGCTATATTACTCATTTTTTTTCTCTATCCGCAAACAGGCAGCAAAATCTTCCGTATATTTTTAGGAAGAAACACTGCAGAGTTTGCACAGCACACTCCTAAACTGGGATCACTAATGATGGGATCAGCTCTGACAGGTAAATTTAAATTGCCTACTAGATCTCCAGCTCTTTGATTAATAGATTGTCCTGTAATTCTGATTAATCTAAAATCTCAAACAACTGGATGCCTTTTGTTAATTAATATGAAGAAATAAGTTAGTTCTGAATTTGTACTGTGTATATTTTCATTGTTGACTGCATAGCATTAATTTTAGTTTAGTATTGATCTACCTTATTGATGTCACACATAAACATTATTGTACATTGAAAAGGTTGGACTTAAAGAGACTCAAACTGAATTGGTGCAACATCATATTGTCGTCGTTTCTAGATGAATTGTCATCTTTAAAACCTATCCTTTCGTGAATTTGTTAGTTTTGATTCTTTTAATCTTCCCGCTATGTTTCTTTGCTGAATCTTTTCAGATGAGTTACATTGATTATTAACATCATTGTTTGTAATATCTTCTGCTTGATTCGAATATATTCACCCACAACACTTTTCCTTTTGCTTTATGCACTAGATTGATGAGATTTTTATTTTGATTTTCAGGAGTATGCTGCAGGTTTTAGTTAACTTTGATAACTGTAAATACAAGAAACATGAATACCCCTACCTATTTTAAGGTTTTTCCCCCTCTAAATTCGTTTATTTTTTTTTCCGGAAACAATGTATAAGCAATTTTTTTTTTTCAACGAAAACAAGTAACTTATTGTCTTACTACAACCTATGTATTCTGTTTATCTCTTAGATACACCCCAAACGGCATGTATATCATTTTCATTATATGATACACTAGTACAATCCTGATCTTAAAGGGCATTGCCCGGATACCTGAGTCAGGTTGTTTTGTGAAAGGTTCCGACTTGATAAAGCCTTCTTCTTTCCTTTTAAAAAAGGGACAATATCTTTCATAGGACCAAACAATAAACTTTGGTGCTTTTAGTGAATATATACTAGGTTAGATCCCGTGCCATGCACGGTGATCTATAGTTAGAAACCAAATTAGCCTCGTGTGATTGACGACATAAAAATTTCAAACCATTAATTGCAATGGTATTTAGATTTAAATAATTTTGAAGATTGTAAAAATTTAACCTAATTATGCAATACAGAGTACTCTTAAATCGGGAGTAAATATATTTGGAAGTCAGATAGTTTTTTTTTTTATAAATCCATAATAATGCAAAAAAAAAAATGAATAAAAAATAGCATACTTCGTAATATAATAATTGACTTCAAAAAAAAAAAAAAAACTCCGTAAATATTTTTAATAATTTAAGGTAAAAAATAAGAAGGTTTAAAAAAAAAGTAAAAATAAAAATAGAATGATGTCAGCAATTGATTTAGGCAGGAAATTTTTTTACAACTTGACATCTATACAATTTAAATAGGGGATGATGTCAACGGTTGTTACTTTAGTTATATTTATAGATGTTTGAGCATAGATTTCGGCCCCTTAAATATATAATTTCCACCGGTCATCCCTAGTTTTTTCTCTTACAAATTACTTCTTTTATTCTTTTTAGTTTGTTCCATTGCACTTTTATGAGTAAACTGATATAAAATTTGACCACAGATTAACACTAACTAGCCTTCTGGCCCGTGCAATGTACGGCTTGTTCTTAGAAAATTGCATTGAGAGATGAGTGAGGAAATACCAATAAATAATTATGAGTGTAATATGTAAATGAAAACAAAACTAAAGAAATAAAAATTTTGGGACTTTAATTTGAAATGAGACTTAATAGAAAGAAGATGGAAGGACTAAAATCAAAGAGAGAAAATAAAAAGGTTGAATTAAAGAGAGGAGATGAAGATGAAGGGTTTAATGAAAGAGTTAAGAAAAATTGTATAATTAAAAATAAAAATGTAAAACAACACGTGGCACATTGAGTTAAAGAAGAAGATAGGGAAGTGTAATAAAATGATGACATGTCTTTTTTGGTTTGTTTTTTTAACTACTATTTTTTTTTTTGAAATATTGAAATATTGTTTTTTTAACTACTAAGTATAGATTTGTAAATAAATAAATAAAAAGTTCAGAAAAAATGTTGTATATTGGTGGGTGATATTTTGTTAAATTTATTTCAATATCCACTCTTATGATATGACTGTTTTTTTTTTCTTTTTTTTTTTTTTTTTTTTTTTTTTTTGCATCAACTTATAGAAGAAATTTACATTTGAAGACATCTTGAAATTCGTGACATGGGATAAACAAATAGGAGCAAAGTAATTTTCAAGGATAATCAAAGTCTTAGAGTTGTCGATTGGAAAAATTTCTGGAAATAATCCCACCTTTATCTCATCCGCCCAAAATAATCTCATCTTTTGATTATTTTTTAATAATCCGACCTTTATACCCTATCTGCTCCCAATGATTCCAAGTGACTAGAAACCGACTAAACAGGTTACCATTTGTAATTTGGGATTGTTTGCACACGTGTTACCACTCAATTAGTTAAAAATTAAAAAATTAAAAGAAAAAAGAAAAGTTATTGAAAAATATAAAAAAAATTAAAAAAACCCCAACTGCTACACTCACTCCGGCAGACCCACCACCGAAACCACCTCTCCTACCCAGCCCACCCACCGAAACAACCTCCTCTACCTAGCCCACCAATCGAAATTGTCCCTCTTCCCTAGGAATAGCCGTTGTGATGGGTTTAATTTGCGATTTTGGGGCTGATTTTTTGGCGTCGAAGCGGTTGCTCTATTTGTGGTATATGGCGGCGGTTAATGGTGCATTTATGGTGGGTGGAGACTGATTATGATATGATGGTGGGTTCGTTGGTGTTTGCTGCGAGGAGAGTGGTTTTGATGTTGTTGCGGGTTTGTGGGTGGTGCTTTTGCGAAGGAGAAGAGCACTAGGTTTGAACCGCTGCCTATGTGGGGGGTGCCAAAAACCCACTTTTTAGCACCGGTTCAAAACCGGTGCCATAGGGTCAAATAGGCACCTGTTAACCGGTGCTATATGCCCAATTAGGCACCGGTTAACCGGTGCCTTTAACTGCTCTCCCGCCATTTTTTTTGGTGGTAGCTATTTTAGGCACCGGTTGGTGCCTAACCGGTGCCTAACCGGTGCCTATTCACCAAATTTTTTTTTTCCCAATTTTCGTGCAATAATTTTTTTTTAAAAAAAACCTGTTTCCAGCAATAATAATAACATGTAATTCCAGCAATTATATTAAATATATTAATTAATAATATTATTATTATAATAACTAATAATAATAATATTATTAATTATTACAATAAGATACAAAAATAATATTAAAAACAAGAATTCAATTATGTATATAGATATAAATATTCCCAAACGCAATACAAAAAAAAAAAAAGTTGCTTACATATACAAATAATAGTAAGTAAATATATAATGAATAATAAGTTATATAGTTCAAAAGTTAACATAAATAATTTACAATTACAATGCCATTTACATGTTGAAGGTGATAAAAGACGCCAACATATCACGAACTTCATTAAGCTCCTTCATTGCCAACGGACCATCTTTTTGGACCTTGCAAAACTTGAAATACAAAAATATTATGTTAAAATTAATTAATTAGGCAAAACAATATGTATTTTTATCAAATATTACCTATATGACTTCTATGTAGCCCATTTCCTACATTACTTATCACATGAACTATTTCTTTCTCATAACATGTCAATGTTGGGTAGTTGTATGTGTGTAAGCCCTAAAATTGTATAGGAGAGCATTTTTTTAAGGTTTATGACGCTTTTTACTCAAAATGGCCCGAATATGGCCCATATGACTTTACTTTGCCCATTTCTTACATTTCTTATTAAATGAACTTTATTTATCTCATAACATGTCAATATTATCTAGTTATAGGTGTATAAGGAAAGAAATCACATCAAAAGAGCATATTACACAAAATGGCTCTAATATGGTCCATATGACTTTTATTCAGCCCATTTTCTACCTTTCTTGTGAAATGACCTTTTTTTTTTTCTCATAACATGTCATTGTTGGGTAATATTAGGTGTCTAAGGCTATAAATCACATCAATATAGCATTTCAATAAGTTTAACAACGCATTTTACTCAACATGGCCCAAATAAGGCCTATATGACTTCTATGTAGCCCATTTCCTACATTACTTATCAAATGAACTATTTCTTTCTCATAACATGTCAATGTTGGGTAGTTGTATGTGTGTAAGCCCTAAAATTGTATAGGAGAGCATTTTATTAAGGTTTATGACGCTTTTTACTCAAAATGGCCCGAATATGGCCTATATGACTTTACTTTGCCCATTTCCTACATTTCTTATTAAATGAACTTTATTTATCTCATGAGATGTCAATATTATCTAGTTATAGGTGTATAAGGAAAGAAATCACATCAAAAGAGCATATTAACACAAAATGGCCCAAATATGGCCCATATGACTTCTATTCAGCCCATTTTCTACCTTTCTTGTGAAATGGCCTTTTTGTTTCTCATAACATGCCATTTTTGGGTAATATTAGGTGTCTAAGGCTAGAAATCACATCAATATAGCATTTCAATAAGTTTTAGTACTTACCTCATCAAGCTGTTGAGTGTCCGTACAATGAGTCACAATGTCAAGCATGAATCTCATCACATACAAAGCACAATCAAGTCCATTCTCTTGTTTTGCGCACTAGCATATGACAAACAAATTACATCAGTGAAACATGCAAAGGAAATGAACAAATATTTACTAACATAGATTTTCAAGATAATCACAATATCATGTAAATTACCAACGGTGACTTCCATGTTGGACCCTTTGGAGCACGACAATGTAGATTCTTCATAACACTGTAGTAAAAAAATGTACTTTCAAATTTGATTAGTCGTATGATTACTAAATTAGTTATTATTAGCAATAATCGTCACTAGGTTGCTATATATATTTACTTTTGCAATATAGACTTCACGAGCCACTTCTCCGATGATCGAGCTGAATCAAGGTGATAAATTGTGTTAGTGGAATTACAAATCACCATGAGGCTCCAATGCTCCCTACATAAGTTCAAAATAGACAAGCAAATTAATATTAAGGAGTCAACATATAATGAGGCCAAATCGATTGAATTTGACATGGTTAGACTTACTCTCTATAACATGGGGCGAATATGAACTTGACTCCCGCACGCTCTCCTTGATACTCTGTTCAACATAGTACAACACATCATGAGGGTTGCCTATGATTCTAGTAGTGGATAACTGCTCGGGGCATAACCACCCAACTTTACAAGGGGAATCAGTGTCAGTTAAGTGCTCCTGTAGTGCTCTGCGTGCATGAACATTGAATAATTAATCAGATGTAGGATAATCACCATCAATTTGAATAACTTGAAAAAAGTATAGATTATGTGGGCATTGAAGTACCTCATGAATGTTTGAATGAGGGAAATGTTAAGCTTTGCACCACGTAGAAATTCCTTCACATCTTCTTTGCTGATCCATGCAACTGCATCCTCATCATAGTAGAACATTGCCTTAGGAAGTTCAACTTCCATGGGATCGACCAAATGACAAGCACGGTTGTGAAGAAAGGTCATGTCAGCAGAGAGCCATTGAAGAACAATGTCTTCAACAAGTGGAGTAGGTGGCATTGGTGAACCTTTCGAAGAGTGCAACTTCGACGCTTGTTCACTCTTGGACTGTTGTTCACTTAGATTCTTCTTAGGTTGATCAATTCTTTTAGGCTTCTCCACCCTCTTTCTCTTTGAAGTTTTGCTTCCATGGGAAATCTGAAATAGTTTGAGAAAGAATAAGTTTATAACTTGAGAAATGAAGAAAATGGCTTTTTTTTGATGAAATGGGCCCAAAAACTTTAGAACTTTTCTTCTTTTATGTAATTTCAACAC